GAACTATAGAGATAGATCAGGATAACCTGAGCCACTCTAACTAGAAGCTTTATCAAAAAGGAAAGTTAGCTATAGGTGCTAACAGGCTTCAGATCAAATCTGCTAGAACAGAAACGGTTCTGCTTAAAAGTGGACCAACTAGATGCTCTAGATCTTAACGACTAGAAGTCTGAGCCACTGCCTGCTGGTCTGGATCATTTCCTGGATCTGCTCTAGTCTCTCTGCTGGGAAGAATCTGGGTTTTTCTCCTGCATGTTTCTCTCATTGCTGCTGCTTCAGGACATCAGGTTGGATCTCCAACCGTTGTTCTGTTCCTCACCTTCCAGTCCATCCCCGCTTTGAAACGGTCCATCTTGTAGATGGTCTCCTTCGGTGCTTAGACCGATCCGGTTTAGCTGCAGCTGAAACCTCTGTGTCCGCTGCAGGTACTCTGAACACACCCAGCTGCAGTCACAGCAGAGGACCGTGCAGGAGGCCATCCAGGCCAAGCTGGCTGACCTGGAGCAGTGGATCTCCCAGTACCACGCAGCCTTTTCCAGCCTGGAGGCCACACAGCTGGCCAGCCTGCTGCAGGACATCAGCAGCCCCATAGACCTGGGTAAGCGCTGGCGTAGTTTCTCGGTTCTTCCCTTTCATCGGTCGCATGGAATCCACATCTTGCTTTGACTCTAGTTTTCCCTAAATCCCTGATGCAGGTCCTCCCAGCTATGTTCCAGCTACTGCCTTCCTGCAGAACGCAGGCCAGGCCCACCTCATCAGCCAGTGCGAGAGCCTGGAGGCGGAGCTAAGCTCCCTGCTGCAGCAGCGCCGCGCCGCCCTGAGGAGCTGCCTGGAACAGCTGCACAGCTACGCCACCGTGGCTCTGCTGTACCCACGCACCACGCTGCTGTTCCACAGAGTCCACCAGTGGAAGGCCTGGTTGGAGGAGCTCCTGAGAGACATGACCGCCGAGCGCTGCCAGCACATCTACAGGCAGTAAGTAGTGGCCGGATGCCGATAATCAAACCTGAAGACGTCTGCTGAGATGTTCCTCTGTCTCCGTCCTCAGGTACGAAGTGCTGTTTGCCCCTCAGCCTCCTGCAGCGTCCTGCCAGTTCCTGTCCAGCATGGAGTTAGCGCTGCAGCGCCAAGTGGCAGAGGCCAACGAGCGCACGCTGCTCCAGGCGGAGCGGCTGAAGGCTGAGGGCGCCACGGTTGCAGCCTGCGAGGACCAGCTGCAGGAGATAGAAAACTGCATCGCAGTCTTCCTGCGGGAGAACGCAGAGCCGGGATCGCTGAGCCTGGCGGCCGTCATCACCTCCGCCCTGTGCACCCTCTGCAGGTCTGGTTCTACCCATGTTTTAAACGCTGTTAGAGGAAGGAATGAGCTCTGAGCTGACGCTTCTGATCCTCTCCGGGCGGCAGGCGTAACCTGGTGATGGAGGGTGCCGCAGCCAGCGCCGGGGATCAGCTGGTGGACCTGACGTCTCGGGACGGGGCTTGGTTCTTGGAGGAGTTATGCAGCATGCTGGGGAACGTCTGCGGCCTGATGACGCTCCTGCAGCGCTGCCCGCTGCTGCCTCACGACCTGGAGCTGCCGGCGCCGGCTCTCACCACCCAGGCCGTGTACCTGGCCAACGCCGTCTACACCTGCCTGCAGGTACGCCCTCCCTCAGCCGCCGCAGCAGGAATGACTGCGGTGGGAGATGTTCTGATGGTTGTTATGGTCCAACTCAGGAGCTGAACACCAACTTCAGGCAGATAATTTTCCCAGAGGCTCTGCGGTGCATGATGAAAGGAGAGCCCACCCTGGAGACCATGCTGGCGGAGCTGGAGCAGCTGGTGGAGCAGAGCTCCGACGGGCTCAGCCTGCAGGGCCTGGCCGACAGCCTGCAGGCCACCACCGGTTTGGACCACGAAGGCCACAGCCACCTGCTACACATCACCAGGTCCTCCTCCTCTTTATCGTTTCTCACCGACGGCCGCTCAGAGTGAGCAGAGACAGTAAACTGTGTGAAACTGGTTCTGTTCAGGATGCTGCGGGCCCAGTACTCAGAGCTGATCCAGCCTCACAGCATGGACGGCCAGGAGACGCCCAAGATGTCCGCCGGTCAGATGCTGCTGGTTGCCTTCGATGGCATGTTCACCCAGCTGGAGGCTGCCTTTGGACAGCTCACCGAGAAGGTAGCTAACCTGAGGGTCACGATATGTTACCTGGTACCTGATGGATGATCTCTGACCCTCAGATCCACCTGCTTCAGAATTTCCCAATTCCTACTTTTAACGCCGTTAAATCTTAAGGAAAAGTCCGGTCAGCAAGGAATAATGGATCATTATTTATATTAAATGAATTTAGCATTAATCAGTAAAAAAATCTATTTTCATTGTGATCACTGAGTCTGGGAGCGGCCATCTTTGCCCAAATATAGTAGCCCCTCCCTCCTGCCATCTTCCAGCAGTGACGGTGCGGTAAGCCTAGCGCCATTCTCCCCGCTTT